AATACGTGGTTCTCGCTTGCGCCTCGCGCGCATGTGCTGAAAGCAGTCCACACGAGCTTCACCGATGGAGGGCGGTCCCACCCTGAAAACGTTGCTCTCGCCGCAGCACTTCGCGCATAATTTTCATGCAACATTCACAGTGGCGACCCATGCCAAGAAACACCCTGTTTGCCTCCATGATGCCCTGGGTTGCTTGGGTTTCGCTGGTTTTGCCTTGGAAAGCGTGACGTTCCCACACCAAACATCCATGGACGCCCTGGGGTCTCAGGTTTGGGCTTCTCGTGGAATATTTCTTGTGGACTGGCCTCCACTGTAGCATTGTGGAAGTCGATTAATGGAGTGGAAGCATGCTGCCAAATAATTTCCAGATGTCTAAGCAATGTTTCAAACATGTTTAAAATATGTAAACACATGCCTGAATCATTTTTATAACATGCTTTGACACATGTTAAAGAGTTTGTTGTTCAATGATAGGATTGTTAGAGTGTCCATCGTCATGGCATCCGCAACTGTAGCAGGATGGAAGACTGCCTTCTTTCAAGTGGAGTTCTCGCTGGAGGCTGAGCGCAGGAAGCCGAAGCGTCAGCGCACGCAGCGCTGCCGCTGCACGGATACACGGCTGCTCTTTTCCAGAGTGGAGTTGTCGCTCGAGCCTTCCTCGAAGTTCATGGCCACTGACAACTCGATGTCTGTTCATGGGAGCCTTGGGCGGCGACACTGAAATCAGCTTTTCCTGCCTTTGGACCGCGTAGGGACCGCATTTGGCCCATCCTCATGCTCCTCCTCTCCCCTCCTGTTCCCTCTCTTCCTCCTCGTTCTCCTAGTCCCCGCGAATCCACTCCAAATCTGGTCCAAGTTTGGTCCAAATTTGTCCCAAATCCGGTCCAAATCAGGCCCGAATCGGACAGCGCCGGGGGCCACGCGGGCTCCCATGGAACGGACACCGACAAACCTGCGCAACCGTTGCGTGCACGGTGGGGGTGGGGGCGGTCCCTCTTCGAAAGTGGGTTACGGTCGGACCAGGGTATAAGATCGAGGTCGGTTCGGCGAGGGTGCGCCAATGTTCCTCTTGCTCGTTGGCTGCTCTTGTGCAGGCTGGGGGAAGGGCACCCTCGAAGGTGATTCGGTTGGGGCCGGCGGAGGGTCTCATGTTCTCGAAGGATGCTATTCTGTTAGGTGTCCGACCGCATCGCTGCTGATTGTGATGATGATGATGATGATGATGATGATGATGATGATGATGACGATGATGATGATGATGATGATGATGCTGCTGCTGATGATGATGATGATGATGCTGATGATGATGATGATGATATGATGATGATGATGATGATGATGATGATGATGATGATGATGATGATGATGATGATGATGATGATGATGATGCTGATGATGATGATGATGCTGCTGCTGCTGCTGCTGCTGATGATGATGATGATGATGATGATGATGGCCACACCCTCCCGACGGGCGCCCCCACGTGCTGCGGCTTTGTGGCGGTGTCGTCATGGCCAGAATACGATGCCCGGCTTCAGCCATTTGCGCGAGGCGTTCGCCCCGACGAGCGAGGGGCCCGCAGACGTCGACGAGATCATTCGCTCGGCAAGTCAGAGCCGCCCTCTAGGTTTCAAACGCGCGGTTGCGAAGGTGATAGCGGCGGCGGTCTTTTGGCCTCCATCTTGCGAGATCCCTAAGGTTGCGGGCCCCAACCAACGCGCATTTGCTTGAAAGGCGGGAGCGACGGCCTCAACTTTGCCGAGCTGCATATGTCTGCGAGCGTGGCCTCGATGCGCGAGTCGGACCCTCCCCTCCCTCCCCGCTTTCACCATTTTTGAGTTTGCCCATGCTGTTCCGAGCGTCGCCCGCCCGTGGTTCTCTTACTCGTCCTCGAGTGCCTTCTTCTCCCTCACGCCCTGCCCTTCTTCGTTCGAGTCAGGTGCTCTGTCGTAGTGTCTAGCCCAAGCGGGGGATCCTCTTCTCCCCATCTCCCAATGTCTTTCAGGCATGGTGCAGGCGTGCCCGGCCAGTGGTGCGCTCCTACGCGCTCGCTTCGCACCCGTTCCCAGCCACGCTCGAAGCCACGTTTTTTTAGGAAAGGGACGACCCGGCAGCTGCCGCGGCGACGAATCTCAAACCGAAGCGACGCCCATCTCGTGGGTCGGCCAGAGCGTGAGCTGACGACGTCGGTGGGGTGGTGCATGCTATGAATTAGCGGTTCCAAAGTATTTTGCAACATGTTCGTCCAGGCTGAAGCTTTGGCTGCACTCCGTGTAAAGTTATGTCGGGCGTGTCCCCCTACAGGGGGATTTTCGACGAAACATAGAAAAAAACTCCAAAAATGCCCCAGAAAGGCCAAAACATAGTCCAACAATAGTCCCCATACTATTTCTTTAATTTTTTTGTAATCATTTTGGGAGTATCTTTTATTTTTCGTCGAAAATCCCCCCGTAGGGGGACAGGCCCGACTTGAGTGTAAAGCCATCCGAGTGTGTGCTCGCACCTCCTGCTTGCCCCTTGTCAGATCCCCTGGCCGATCCACGCCGTGCTCGGATCGCCACCAGGATCCCCGCGTGCAGAGATTTCAAAATATAGCATTATGGAAGACGAGCAATGGAGAGGAGGCATGCTGTCAAATACATTCCGGATGTCTAAAGCATCTTTAAAGCATGTTCGAAACATGTAAAAAACGTGTCGGGAACATGCCACATACAGCTCAACAACATCAGCGCACAGTTGAAATCCAATGGTAGGGTTGTTAGAGTGCCCATTGCCATGGCACCCACAAGTCTGGCCCGATCCGAACGTCCTGGGGATGCTTTTGGGTCCCGCGGGCCGCCGGCACTCTCGGGATGCCCCGATGGCACAGCCGGCCCACCGAGTAGCTCAGACATCGCAGCGGCTTCGTCACCGACGCTCGCCGCGGCAGTGATGTGCGACAGTCGTCGTGCCCTCACGACCCTCTCTTACGTTGGCCAGTTCTTCCCCCTCCCTCCGACCTATGAGAAGTCAGAGCGTGCGCTGTGAACAGCTGTTTTCAGTGTTCCGCATCGCACGATGTCCAGATCGGAACGTTTTGAAATCCACAGCTGGGGCGCCCGGGAGTTTCGGAGCGGAGTGGTGCTAAACCTAGCTTCTCGGATGCGTGCTTCATTGTGCGATGTTCGAGGCTGGGAGGCCTTTTTTACCAGAGCTGTTCCAGGCCACGACGACCTCACGAGCGTGCAGGTTCGTGGTCATGGACCAGCCCTCCCCGCCCTTGTTCGGGCGGACTGCAGCATCGCAGAGCACCTCAAACAAACGAGTCTCGGTTTCCCCTCCTCGTCCTCCTCTTTCTCCTCCTTGGCCCCGATCGGTTCCGCACGACACCGAAAAATGCACGGGAAATGGACGTCCGAGCGACGGCAAGTCCCCGACCTGACCGAGGACTTACATGCTGTTGTTCGGGGCCGGTTGCGGGACGCCTGTCTCGAGTGGCCTCCAGCCCACACTGCTGGTGTAAGACGGAAGCCCTCACTAGAGGGTGGGCAGCGTCGACAAAGTTTCGGGGTTCTCAGGTGTGCAGATTCGGCTGCCCCTGCGGCCGAGACCGCGTTCTTCATTTTATTTTCTGCAGTCGGGTCCTCAATCGGTCCGCTGTCGTGCTTGACATTTCGATCTCCTTCGACCTCCTCACCCATCTTGGCTTCCGTGGTCTCTCTCCTCACAGTTCCTCACTCTTGCTTGTCGCTTATTTTAATGTATAGCACCTTGATAAAACAAACAAAAAACAGCGCCATTCCACCAGCATGCGGTCAAGGTGGCGATCCCCTTGGTTCGCACTGCATGTCAGCAAGGCGGGTAGTTGGCCAGCGGGGGCTTGCTGTGGTAAGGAGGTGGACCCAAGTCCGCCTCATGCTGCGTCGTACCAGGAGGAGGAGGAGGAGGAGGAGGACGAGGAGGAGGACGAGGACGAGGACGGGGACGAGGAGGACGAGGAGGACCAGCAGAACATAAGAACAGGGTGGAAGAGGAAGCGGAGCAGGAGGAGGAAATAAACGGAGGGGGGGAGGAAGAGGAGGAGGAGGAGGAGGAGGAGGAGGAGGAGGAGGAGGAGGAGGAGGAGGAGAAGGAGGAGGAGGAGGAGGAGCAGGAGGAGGAGCAGGTGGAGCGGCGTGCCCGCCAGGCGAAAGAGCAGGCGGACTGCTCGCAGAACGGCGCGTCCAGACGGGCTCCCCGCCCCCGCGGGCGAAGGGTGGAGGGGGCTGCGGCGAGCAAGCGACAGGGCGTCCTCCTGCTCCTCCTCCTCCTCCTCCTCCTCCTCCTCCTCCTCCTCCTCCTCCCCCTCCCTCCCCCCTCCTCCTCCCCATCCCCCTCCCCCTCCTCCTCCTCCTCCTCCTCCTCCTCCTCCTCCTCCTCTTCTTCCTCCTCCTCAGACGAGCGGATGGAAGTCTGCACCAGGGGCTTACGGTGGGCAGCGTTGGTTTAGCGTGGCGCGCCGACGGCTCCGAGCAGCCACGCTCGTGCGCGATGCGTCAATCCTTCCCCATCCCCCAGGCGTCAATGTCCCCGAGCGCTTCCCAGCCTCCCGCCCCGCGGAGCAGAGTCACACGCTATCCATTTGCAGGGCATGGCGTGTCGCCGGGGCCGCCGCCGAGACGCAGCGAGCAAACGTTCCCGACCGTATGGGTCAGCCCCTGGCTCGATTGGATGGGCACCTTCTCAAAGACAACGCGCCTCGTAAGCTCCCGGCCCGACCTCGCCAGCGAAGGGGGGGGGGCACCCAGTGGGCAGCCGACGACGACCCCCGCAGCGCCCATCCAGGGAGAGAGGGGTGGCAGCGAACCAAGACCCCCCACGTTATGACTTTCTCATGGCGCCACCCCTCAGCTAGAGGTCCAGACCCCTTCCCCCGGGGACCGGCTTCTCGTCCCGAGTCGTCTTTGTGGACTGCCCCAGAGGCCCGCCGAGGGCCCCCGGAGAAGATATAGCGAAAACCTCCCGCCGCGATTTTCTTCACGGCGCGAGGGGGTCTGGAGAAGGAGGAGGAGGAGAAGGAGGAAGAGAATTAGGAGGGCGAGGAGGGGGAGGAGGAGGAGGTGGAGAAGGTGGAGGAGGAGGAGGAGGAGGAGGAGGAGGAGGAGGAGGAGGAGGAGGAGGAGGAGGATGGGGAGAGGGGGGTGGCAAGACGCGGCGCGTGTCGTATGGGCCACCTGTCGGCCAGCACCACGGAGCGGCTCCCGGGCGGGCAGCCGCAGACCAGCCCTTTTCGCGTGGCCGAGGGGGCAGCATGGTTCCCGGGGCCCTGTCTTGGCCTGGGTGTCGCTGGGTGGTGCTGGGGCTGCGGACTTCTTCTCCCTCCGTTGTCCTCCCCCTCCGCCTGGGCGGGGCAGGGAGGAAGAGGATGATGACGACGACGACGAGGAGGAGGAGGAGGCGGATAGTATGAGGCGAGGGGGAGGCGTCGGAGGGATAAAAACATGGCGCACGGTTTCCATAGTTCTGGATTCAAAACGGGTCGAAGAGCTTTTGGGGAGGAGTCGGGAGAGCGATCAGGAGGATGGATACAAGGAGGGGGAGGGCATAGGAGTAGATGGACGTAAAGGGTCCCAATGAGGAAGAGGAGACTCTGTGCACTCGCCGACCACCCTCTCCATCATTGTTCCGCTGTGATGTGTTCTATTTGTTACGACAACGGGCTGATATGTGCGTTGCCGATCTAGGGCGTACGAATGTTCCATCTGTTATGTCATCCTGGTCACCGACGATACATCATTCGATTCCTTCTTTTTTCCGATCGTTTGAAACAGCGGTTGGCCCAGACAGATGTTGAATGCACCAGCCTCTGCATGGAAGACAGAGAGAAGGCGATCTATATATATATATATATATAGAGAGAGAGAGAGAGAGAGAGAGAGAGAGAGAGAAAAAAAGAAAACAAGATAACGACATCAAGAAAACATAAGATAAAGGACGAGAGACGACGAGGAGGCGGAGGACGCCGACGGGGACGACGATTGGTTAGTGGCAGAGAGAGGACGAGGTGGAGGACGAGAACGGACAAAACGTCTCTCTCTCTCTCTCTCGCTCTCCATTTCTCAGTCTGAAGCAGGAGAGACAGGAGGTGCAGGAGAGGGAGCGGGATGCCCGCGTACTCGAAGTTGCACAGCGGCGACGGCGACGGCAGCACGGGCGGAGGCCATAGACCGAGACCTGCGACGGCGCCGACCTCGGCGACGACTCCCGACGCCGAGCGTCTGTGTGCTGGGGGGCGCTTCCCCTGTAGGGCCCCGGACCTCTCGACTCCCTCTCCGGGCGGGCTGCTTGGCCCCAGCCCCCGGGGCCCTATGAGGGCCCTGGGCCCGTAAGCGCCGCAAGCCCGAGCCTTCCAGCAGGGAGGGCCGTTGCCCGCGACGGCGGCTCTGTGTTAGGGAAACGAAAAGTGACATAAACATAACAACTCGGAGGTCCGCGCGGATTTCTTGGATCCGCGCTGGACCTCCCTCCCCGGCGCGCGGAGCGCGCCAGGGGCGGCGCCGGAGGCGCCGCCGGGGGGCCCCAGCGCCGATCCGAGAAATCCGCTCGGACCTCCGAGTTTTTATGTTTATGTAACTTTTCGTTCCCCTATGTGCCGCCGTCGGCGGCGGCGGCGGCGGCGGCGACGGCGGCGGCAACGGCGCCGCCGCCGCCGACGGCGCCGACCGGTGCGCAGGCCGCGCAGCAGCTGCGGAGGCTCTGCGCCCGGCTGCGCCCGGGCGGCCAGCTCGAGGCCGGAGGCGAGGGCGCCGGGCCGGAGGCGCCCGGCCTCGAGGCGCCGGGGGCGTGGGCGAGGCACACACAGACTGGCGGCAAGGCGATTTCATCGGAGGTTGATAGACCTCCTACCCTGACGCGTCGATTGAGGGATTGGCCGGTTTCGGTTCGCGAGAGGGCGTCGCGGCCGTCATTTTTGCGGGTCCAGGTCCGTCGGTTTCGGTCCCAGGCCGTTTTCATTAAGGGGAGGTTTACTAAAGGGAGGTTTGTCCACCGCCGATTTCCGACGGGTTCGGCGCAGGGTCCCGGAGATCCCCCTCCAGGCTCTCCCCCTCCCGCGGGTCAGGAAGAGGTCACGACGCGGAAGGTTTGTCGCTAGATCTTCGGCCTCTGGGGGGCCCTCCCCGGGCCTCGGGACCGTCAAGAGACGACCTGGGATGAGAAGCGGGTCCCGGGGAATGGGTCCAGACCTTTGGGGGTCGCGTCATGAAAAATTGTGACGCTGGGGGTCTGGATTTTCTCTCGGTTCTGGGCCCCAGGACCCTCACAGATCGATCCAGCGCGGAGAAGGGCGCCGAAAGATGGGGGATCCGAGGCTCTGCCGGTGGTGCTTTTCGATATTGCCTGTCTTTTGGCAACGTTAGGTCTGAGGGCAGTTTCTCTAAAATTAGGGCTCCCAAGTGGGGTCTGGGTACACATTGTTCATTTCTACTTCTTCGAAAGTTCTTTGATTTGGGAGGGGCCAAGATCCTCTCAGTTCTACTTGTTCTATCCTGGGCCTCTTTCTGGCCACTGGGGGGCCAGGAACAATTAGAAACGAGCACACTTAGAAATGCAATCAGAAACGAGCACACTTAGAAATGAGCACGATTAGAGATGAACGACGTGTAGGCCTCCCAAACGGGGTCTGGGCAGATGGGGTCGGAGGATCGCGCCGCATCGCCGAGGCATCGCCGGTGCGGCTCCATGTGGGCCGCGGTGTTCTCCGCGCCAGCACCGCCTGGTGCGCCGTCGTAGTCGCCGTATACGTGCAGCGAGGATGCCTCCGCGATGCGGTGCGATCCTCCGACCCCATCCCCAGAGGCAGAGGAGGCGGAGGAGGAGGAGGCAGCGGAGGAGGAGGAGGAGGAGGAGGAGGCGGCGGAGGCGGAGGAGGAGGCGGCGGAGGCGAAGGCGGAGGCGGATCCCCGAGGTCATGATCTTTCTGCGTGGCGCGACCCCACGAGGTCCGGACCCATTCCCCGGGGCCGGCTGCTCATGCCGAGACGTCCTTTGACGCTCCCGAGGCCCGATCCGGGCCCCCAGGTGGACCGACCACGCAGCGGGAAGCCTCCCGCCCCGATTTTGTCCACCCCGCGAGGGGCTCTGGGTCTGCGTCTGCTCGGGCCCCACCTGGGAGGCCTCGAGCTTCCGAGGGCCCCTCCCCGGCCCCCGCCAGGGCCGCTCCTGGCCGCCATGGGGCCCTCCCAGGAGGGGAAAATAGTCCACTCCCATGAAAATATGAGAAAATATGGGAAGTGGGGGGAAGACAAAAACTAGAAAAAATATGAGAAAATACGGAGAATGATTTTATTTGTGTGTATGTATTTGTGTGTCCCAGGGTTCCTTCAGCCCTCTCCCAGCCCCGCATGGCAGGGGCCGCTCCCCGGCTTCCCGGGGCCGCCCGAGAGCAACGGCCCCGCAGGCCGAGCCCGCCCCATGGGAGAGGGGGCCGCGCTCCCAGCGCGCGCGCGGAGGCGTATCGCCTCCCCCTTTGGTTCGTGCGCCTCTTCGTCGTCGTCGGCGGCGGCGTCGTCGTGGTCGTGGCGGTGCTTGTTGCTCTGCCTGGGGGCATGTTTGCAGCCCCAGCCGTCCTGTGGGGTTGGGTCCTCGCTTTGGGCCCCCGGGCGCCCCGCGGCACTCCTTCCTGCTCTCGCTCGTCCCCCGCCCTTCCTTGCCTCCTCCCTCCCTCGAGTCACCCCTCACACGCTTCGTGGCCCTACTGGGAGCTCCACCAGGGCTCCAGCGGCAGGGTCCGCATGGAGGCGCCGCACCCACTGTCGGCACAGCCCTCACACATTTTGGGACCGCATTGGGAGCTCCACCGAGGGCCTCAGCGGCAGGATCTGCACGGCGGCGCCGGACCCATGTCGGCACAGCCCTCACACGTTTCGTGGCCCGAAAGGGAGCTCCACCGGATGCCCCAGCACACGCCTCGTGGCCCACATAGGAAGTTACCCCTCATTCGTCCCACCTGCCTCGCGGCACTCGCGCCCGGATATTTTTTGCCCATTGCAATAATTGAGGCGGATGACGATGATGAGGATGAGGAGGGGAGGGTTGGGAGGCGGAGAAGAGGAGGAGGAGGAGGAGGAGGAGGAGGAGGAGGAGGAGGAGGAGGAGGAGGAGGAGGAGGAGGGGGAGGGGGAAAGAGGATTCGATCCGCCTCCTCCTTTTTCTCCCCCTTTTTCTCCTCCTCTCACCCTCCTCCTCCTCCTCCTCCTCCTCCTCATCGTCTTCATCGTGGATCTCGGCGGCAGCCCCGAGGAGCTGGCCGCGAGGCGCCGCCAGCGGCTCAGGGAGGGCCTGGTCGACCTGCAGGTGGACGCCAACGGTTTCGTGGCCGCCGCGACGGACCGGGCCGCGCCGTTTTGGGGATCGCTCCTCCCTCTCCCCCTCCCCCTCCGGCTACTCCTCTCCTCCCTCTGTTCCTTCCCACCTCCCCTCCCTCCTCCCTCCTCTCCTCCTCCTCCTCCTCCTCCTCCTCCTCCTCGCCTCCTCCTCCTCCTCCTCCTCCTCTCTCCTCCTCCTCCTCCTCCTCCTCCTCTCCTCCTCCCCTCCTCCCCCTCCTCCTCCTCCTCCTCCTCCTCCTCCTCCTCCTCCTCCTTTCCCTCCTCCTCCTCCTCATCCACGTGTGTGGTAAGCAACATGCTCCAACATGCTCTTTCTTCTTTTCTCTTCATGTTAATATCAAATTGTCCACCTGCACGGTTTTGAGTCAGCCCAGTCGGCGGTTGTATGGGCTCGGGAGTTCAGGGGTTGGATGAAGGAGGTCGAGGCCAGTTTTTGGCCCCTCGAGGACAGCGACTAGCCTAGATGCCGTGGCCGCGTTGCGGCCAGGTGGATCAGCATCTGTTCTCCTCTCTTCACCTCTCTCCTCGCTTCTTCATGTCCTCAAGGGTCTGCTCCTTCACCACCTCCTGCTACTGCAAATTCCTTTCCCAGCTGATCTTGCTCCTGCTGCTGCTGCTGCTGCTGCTGCTCCTCATCCTCCTTGCTTTCTCCCCACTCACCATCCCATCTTTAGAGTTCCTCTGCCTCCCCCTTTTCTCCCCTGGATCGCCGCATCTCTCCTTCCTCCCTCTTTCCTCCCTCTCCTTCTCCTCTGCACCCCTCTTCGCTCCACTCCTCCACTCCTCTTCTCCTCCCGTCATCTCCTCATCTTTTCCTTCCCCCCTCTCCCCTCCTCCCTACCCTCCTCCGTCTCCCCCTCGTTCCTCTCTTGCTCCTCTCTCCTCCTCGTGCCTGTGCTCCGTCGCCGCCGCTGCTGCCATCGCCGCCGCCGCCGCCGTCGTCGTCGCCGTCGCTCATGGTCGCTGCCGCGGACGTCCGTCGCCGCCGCCGTCGTCGCCGCCGTCGTCGTCGCCGTCGCCGTCGCCGCAGTCGGTCGCCGCCGCGGCCGCGGCCGTCGCCTCCCTCACCGCCCCCCCGGGGCGGAGCCCGCCGCTCCCGCGGCCGCTGCTGGGCCGGCAGGACGCGCTGCGGCAGTGCGTCAAGGCGGGGCGCGCCCGCCGCCGCGGCCCCCTCGCTCAGCGGAGGACGTGGTCGTGGCCGTGGTCGCGGTCGTGGTCGTGGTCGTGGTCGTGGTCGTGGTCGTCGCTGTCGTGGTCGTCGCCGTCGTCATCGTCGTCGTCGTGGTCGTGGTCGTGGGGGTCGTGGTCGGCGTCACGGCACGCTCGCTCAGCATACTCTACGGTCAGGAAAAGTTGGCTTAGCGGTCGGGGCGTTAGTTAAGGAACGTGCCTGGGAGGCTTCCGACCCTTGAGGATTCAGCATCCGATGAGGGCGGCGGTGACATTTACGGCCATGCTTCAATTAGAGTTCCACCGGCTTTCAGACCCTGGGTTCCCCACAGTCGGGGTGCTGAAGAAGGAACCCTTTTCGTTGGGGAGGGGCTCAGTGTTCCTCAATTGTCTCACAGCTTGCCTCGGGTGTTCCTAAAGTTTTCGATGTGAAGTCGGAGCTGAAGTTTTGGAAACAAAGGGGCCTCGTTCCTTATCTGGGGTTCCCTGGGTCAACGCCTCGACTCTGTCCAGTGGCTGCTTCTCTTCTGCCCTCGCCGAGTGCTGTTATGGATGTGTGGGGGGCTTCGCGCCGCGTCGCCCGCCGACGCTGGCCCGCCACGCTTCGGAGCGACACGCCCACGGCCCAGTCACCGAGCGTCAACGTCCCGATCCTCTTCCCGCCCTCCCGGCCCGCGGAGCGGAGCGCCACGCTGCGGTGGAGGCGCTCGTTGGGGAGTGTGCCCAGGAGGCTTCCTTCTCTGAGTTAGGGCGGCGATGATGTCCATGGCCAATCCACGATGCAAGTTCCGCCAGCCTCCAGACGCCCAGTTCCTTCTCTAGCGGTTCCTTGTCCAGTGCCCCCACCGTGTCCACTCGCAGGGCACAGCGGCGTGCCGCCGGGGCCGCCGCCCGCGACACGCTGTCCAGGAATTTCGGGCCGTAGGCTCGTCCGCTATCAGGAGCGCGCGGCCCAGGGCGGATGGAGAGTTCATGCCACAGCGCGCCACGGTAGGGGAATGCACGTCCCAGCCACCCTGGGACGAGCGTCCACCCGTTGGCGGACGCATGGACTTTTTCCGCCACTCTTCGTCAGCGAACTCGCGGGCGGCAAGCCTCGGCGGAGTGCGGCGCTTTCCCTAGGGGTGCCGTGTGCGTGAGTGTGTGTGTGTGTGTGTGAGTGTGTGTGTGTGTGTGTCTGTGCATGTACACGTGGCCACGTGGCTGAGGCTTCGTTGGCGGAGCCCTCTGGGTGCCGTATATTGCGCGTGGTCCTGGGCACGTCATCGTGGGGCTCTGGCTTCGTGAGACAACCTCTGCTGGGGTCATGACTGCGCGTGCCGTGCCGTGCTGCGGTCATAAGGCCGGGGTTCCGCAGGCAAGCCGCCGTGGGGGGGCGGGGGCCGTGCTGTGCCGCGCCGTGCGCGCCCGCGGAGGACTCGCCGCAGGTACTCGCCACCCTCTGCCCCTCCTCCCCCTCCTCCCTCCTCCTCCCCCTCCTCCCCCTCCTCCCCCTCCTCCTCCTCCTCCTCCTCCTTCTCCTCCTCCTCCTCCTCCTCCTCCTCCTCCTCCTCCTCCTCCTCCTCCTCCTTGCGACTTCGTTGATTACCAGCCTCGAACGTATCCCTATCCCTAAGATCGGCACGCCAAAAGGCGATGACAATCTTAGGGATTTGCCCTCAAAGCATAAGGGAATCCCGAAGAGTGGCATCGTGACGAGGCGGTGCCCAGCATAGGGATAGGGATATGTTCCAGGCTGGTAAGTTGACGCTGCGCGAATCGTAGCTCTGGCCACTGCCCCAGGGTCTCCCAGTTCTCGTTCCTCCTCCCCGGCCCGCCCTTCTGCTCTTCCGCCGCGGGCCCGCTGTCTCCCTCGCTGCGGGCGGGGAGAAGAGGGGGGGGGAGTGAGGGGACAGGAGCAGGCGCTGGAGGAAGAGAGGGGGCGGGAGGGAACGGCGAGGAGCTAGCGGAGGAGGATGGAGGAGGAGGGCGGGGGGAGGGAGGAGGGAGGAGAAGGGGGGGGGGGCGATGGGGAGGTAGGAGGAGGAGGAGGAGGAGAGGAGGAGGAGGGAGGAGGAGGAGGAGGAGGAGGAGAGGAGGAGGAGGAAGGAGGAGAAGGAGGAGGAGGAAGGAGGAAGGAGGAAGGAACGCCCCCCCCCCCTCCCTCCCCTCCTTCCCGTAAACGCGGTTTGGGATTCCAGGGCAGGGGGGAAGGTGGACAGCCAAATGTCTCACGCCTTGTCACCCCCAGCAAGTGGGGGTCGGCCGATTCAAGAGGCTTACGCCAGTCCGCCGACCCCCAGAAGAGGGAACACGTCCACTGGTGAGGCTTTCTGGGGCCTCTTGGGGACCATTTGGGGGCTTCTCTTGGGCTTCTCAGGGGCCTCTTGGGGGAGTTTCCAAGGCTTTTTGCTGGCCGTCTCGGGGGCCACTGTCAGGGCCCTTGCTATATTTGGGCGCCCGAGTTATCCGGGGTAACTCGGGCCCGGGGTGACTCGGGTTTGGATTCCCGAAAAGCGAACCCGAGTTAGCCCTGACCCGCGTTACCCCTGCTGGTTTGGGCCTCTGGACGCCTGAATTATCCGGTGTAGCTCGGGCCCGGAGTAACTCGGGTTCGGAGTCCCGAAAAACGAACCCGAGTTCGCCCTGACCCGAGTTACCCCTGATGATTCGGGGCTCCGATACACTCTCCTGCCCACTACGTCCCATTTCGGGCCCCCTCCTCAGTACTCCGACCCAGAGCTCTTCATTCTGCTGCTTCTCCCCGTCCTGCCTGCCCTCTCCGGCCCATTCCCTCCGCCCCCCCGCCCCCCACGCCTCTGCGCCTCGCTCCCGCTCTGCTCCACCACACCCTTCCGCGCGCCACTCTTCCCAGCCCTGCACCCTCCGCCCACTCCGCTCTCCTCCCGACGCGCTTTTCCAGTGGCTCGCTCTGTCTCTCTCTCTCTCTCTCGCTCTCTCGCTCCCTCTCTCTCTCTCTCTCTCTCTCTCTCTCTCTCTCTCTCTCTCTCTCTCTTCAATCCCAGCAGTCCGTGATCGAAGGAGCTGCTGAGAGCAGGGCATGGGGGGGGAAATCGACAGGGCCACCGGCTCGCGACGACTGGCACAGGCCCCCTTCCGAAGTGGCGCAAGGCCAGCCACCGCGCCAGGATCGCCAGCCGCCAATGCCCAAGCCTGCGCTCCTCTCCAGGGTCCGTTTCGCTTCCTCCGGGTCGATTCGACTTGATTTCGATTGCTTCCGAGGCCGATCCGGTCCGACTTGGGATTCTGATCTGGCTTCCGATCTCTTGTTGGAGGCATACCAGCCTGCCGATCTCTGTCGATTCGACCTTTCCCGACTCGGCCGCCGATTTCCGCCGATCCGACTCCTTTCGATCGCCGATCCGACTCACAGTGGAAACCCATGCCAAGAAACACCCTGCTTGCCTCCAGGATGCCCTGGGTTTCTTGGGTTTCGATGGTTTTGCGGTCGAAGCCGTGATTTCCCCGCACCAAGAATCCATGGACGTCCCCGGAGTCCCAGGGTTGGTTTTCTTGTGGCAGGTTTCTTGTGGATTGACCTCCGCTGTATCGATTCGATTCTGGGCTCCTCTCTTCCTTGGCCCACCCCGTGCGCGAGCAGCGCCCCCAGGCCCCGGCGCCCGGTGCGGCCCCAGACCCCGCCCATCCCCCGCCCTCCCCCTGGCCTCCTCCGGGCACCCTCCCTCCCCCTGCTACCTTGAAGTCGGGTATGCCCCTTCTACAGGAGGAAATTCCAATCATAGCGAAGACATAGTCGGAGGACGATGTTGGGATTGCTATTTTGTTTTATTGTTGACTATGTGTGACTATCTTTAATTTTTCGTCCAAGATCCGCCTGTAAGAGGGCATGCCCGACCCAACGCTACCTGCCAGGCCCGGATGTCCTTCCCTTTCCTCCCGCTCCCCTTCCCTCCTGTCCTCCCCTCCCTGCCGTCGCCATCGCCATCGGGAAAGCGGGCCCGAAGGGAGAGAACGGCTCCCGAGGTGTTGCGCCGCTTCCGGGCCTCGGGGGGCCCTCCACGGGCCTCGGGACCTGTCAGAAAAGCGGCTCGGGACGACGGCCTCGTCCCGCGGGAAGGCCCCGAGGACCAGCACCCGCTGCCCGCAGGACCCGCCTTCCCCCTCTGCTGCCTGCCAAGCCTAGGTTTACGTCGGGTGTGCCCCTCTACAGGAGGAGTATTCAAACACAGTAAAAACAAAGTCGGGGAAGATGTTTCGACCATTCTTATTTGTCGTCCAACATCCACCTGTAAGAGGACACGCCCGACCTGAGCCTAGGTCCTTCCCGGCCCTCCCGCTCCCCTTCCTCTCCTCGTCGGAGGGGGGCTTCGAGGCACCTGCGCATCGCGCTGCCTGCCTCGAGCACGGCGCAGCTGGACTGTGCGCACGGCACAGCTCATCCGCGAGTCCCTCCACCAAGAACTCGTACGACCTCCTTCCGCGTCTCCTGATCCCGCTTGTTCCCGTCGCCCTTCGTGCGGTGAGCAGTGCGTATAGCACTGCAGATGGTTTCAAGATCCCGCTCTACTCGGCGAAGGTAATTAAGCACATGAAGCGCAACAGCAAGGGATGGGAGGGTGGGATATGATGTCAGAGGTGGCGAAAGCGCGCCTGGGCTTGTTTCCTGTCGGTCTTTCCCCTTCTCTGTCTCTCTCTCTCACTCTCTGTATCTCTCTTCCTCTCTGTATGTATATCTGTCTTCTTCTGTCTCATGATCGTCAGGCATGTTCCTTCTTCCAAGTGTCTTTATCGCTATCGTTGTGTTCCCCTCTTCTTCTCTCTTCCTCTCGCTCTCCCTCTCTCTCTCTCTCTTTCTGTCTCTGCTCTCTGTTTTCTTTTCTGCACCCCTACATCTCTCCCTCTTCCGCTCCGTCTCTCTTCGCCCCTTGCCTCGTGCGCGCTCGGTGTCATCTCCCGCTCCCTCTCTCTCTCTCTCTCTTCTTCCCCCTCTCTCTCTCTTGCTGCCTATCCTAGCTCCGACTTGTTTGTCTTTCTCTCTCTCTCTCTCTATAAATATATATATATATATAGATCGCTCTCTCGATGTATTCATACATATATACACATACATATATATATATATACACATCTCTCTATATATATGTACATATATATACACACGTATCGATTTCTGTCTCCCCGCTCTGCCTCTTCCCCTGTCGCCGCTCGAGGCGCGCCGCCGCTCCTCCCGCGCACTCTTTGCCCCCCCCCCCCCCCGCAGCAGGATCTCCAGCACGTGGTGCTATCACCGTGCGAATGCATTCGACCGTGGCGCCCCCTCGGCCCTCCAAGGATGGTGCTCCCGCGGCAGCGTCGGCCGCACTCCCAGACCCCCCTCGGGCTGTGAAGACAAAGAAAAGAAAAACGCGACGGAAAGCGTTTCGCTATTGTCGGCCTCTGGGGGCCCTTCTCATCTTCCTCCTCTTCCTCCTCGTCTTGCTCTTTCTTCTCCTCTTCCTCCTGCTCCTCCTCCTTCTCCTGCTCCTCCTCCTCCTCCTTCTCCTCTTCCTCCTCCTTCGCCTCCTACCGGGCATCGGGACCGTGAAAAGACACGGCTCAGGAGGAAGAAGCCGTCCCAGGGAAGGGGTCTCCGGACCTTTGGGGGTGGGTCGCGTCGTGACAAAACCATGACGTCGGGGGTCTCGGCTTGGCGAGCTCTGGGAGCCCCGAATCCAAACAAATGTTGTCATCCCTCGGGAGGTCGACGTCTGCTTCCGCCGGCCTCCCGCGGGCCTCCGCCGGCGGAGCCGCCCCCGTGTTCTCTGTTCCTCCGCCGCCCTCCGCCGACCTCCCGCCGCCCTCCGCCGAGGAAGACGTGGCGACTCCCTCGATCCGCGAAGGCCGGCAGCAATCCTCTTTGGAACGCCTCGTTTGCGACTGGGCGCCCCGCGCTTGCCGTTCAGGAGTGGCGCTCTCGCCACGGTGCGGGCCGCGCTGCTGGACCCGAGCCCTGCCCCCCCGTTCTTGCCGCGCCCCCCTTCCCCTTTTCCCCTCCTCGCACTCCGCCTGGTCCTCCTGCTCCTCCTTCTCCTACTGGCTGCACCTCCCCCCCCTTCCTCATCCTCCCTTCCCTCTGCCCATCCGCCACCGCATCCTCTGATGTATACAACAAAGCCCCCTGATGGCGCACCACGCGATGGAGACACCTTGGAGAGCAAGGCCCCGTAGCTTGTGCACCCGAGCCGGCGGGTAGAACACACTCCCGCGACAGGGGGGAGGGCTGGGTGGGAAGGGCAGGATGTCAGGTGTGGCGCGGGCTCCCCTGGCTTGTCTGCCTCCTCCCTCTCCCTTTCGCTCCGCCTCCCCCCCGCCCCCGCCGCCGCACCAGAGCTCCCGTCGGGTCCCCCGCCGCCGCACCAGAGCTCCCGTCGGGTGCCCGATGCCTTTTGCAGTGAGGGCCGCCTGCACCTGTGAGAGCCCTCTCCGGGGCCAGGAGGACCGCGGCCCGCATTGCCGGCCGCCCGCCGCGCCGCGCGGCCCTGCCCTCCGCTGCAGTTTCGGGGGCACCGCCCGGCGGGCTGCCGCCCCGCCCCCTCCCCCCCCCCCCGCAGCGCCCCCCCCGCCGCGGCCCCCCCGCGGCTGCGATGGACCCCGCGGGCTGGCGCCCGAGCGCGCGGGGCTCCGAGCGCCTCGCCGGTGAGGCGGCGCCGCCCGCCCGCGCCGGCTCGCCCCTGCCCGGCGGCGCCCAGGGGCTGGACCTGGAGTTCGAGGCTCGGGCCGGGAGGAGGAGGAAGGGGTGGGGGGGCGGGCTGCATACCCAGAGATCCAACGGATTGACAAAAATCAAGACGGAGGTCTTTTGCCATTTTCGGCCTCTAGAGGCCCTCGCCGGGCCTGGGGAAAGGGTCGGGACCTCCCAGGACACCGTATTGAAAAAATCACGACACCAGATCTCTGGGTATACGACCATACAGGGAGGTCAGCACCTCCTCTCCTGGAAGCCTGGGGCGGAGGAGGAGTCGGGAGCCCTGGCAGCTCGGTGACCTCTGTCTCGACGCCGAAACGAGGCTCTGGTCGACTGCACGTCGAGCTGGTAGCTGCTGGCTAAATCAGTCGGCTTTGCAGGGGGAAGCATGCGGGACCAATCGCCTATGGAGCCTCTCGGGCCCGCTTCGACACTGGGCCCAATCTCTGTGCAGTTGTTTGCATGGAGCGGGTGCGGGGTTATCGCACTGTGGCGCACCCCCCCACACTCAGGAGAGGCTTAAGGCGCTTCGTTCCTCAAGACCTACACGATTTATAGCCGTTGCAGGTGTATCTCTCTCCGCCACCCCAGCCATCCGCCACAATCGCCGATGCCCCGAGCTCCAAACGGACCACCTGAAACGCCTCCGATATCAGGCCAGGAAGCCAGGGGAGGGGGAGGAGGAGGAGGAGGGAGGAGGAGGAGGAGGGGAGGAGGAGGAGGAGGAGGAGGAGAGGAAGAGGAGGGAGAGGAGGAGGGAGGAGGGAGGATGAGGAGGGAGAAGGGAGAAGGGAGGAGGGAAGTCTGAAACGCCTCCGATATCAGGCCAGGAAGCCAGGGAGGGGAGGCGAGGACCGAGGGGAGCGAGACCGCGCGCCGGGGGCAGCCAGCGGGGCAGTAGCGACGAGGGCGGAGAAGTGGCAGGGCCTGAGTCTTAGAGCGACCAAACCTCCATCCTCCTCCTCCTCCTCCTCCTCCTCCTCTCCTCCTCCTCCTCCTCTCCGCCTCCTCCTCCTCCCCTCCTCCCTCCTCCTCTCCTCCTCCTCTCCTCCTCCTCCTCCTCCTCCTCCTCCTCCTCCTCCTCCTCCTCTCTCTCCCCTCCTCCTCCTCCTCCTCCTCCTCCTCCTCCTCCTCCTCCTCCTCCTCCTCCTCCTCCTCCTCCTCCTTATACCTCCTCCGCCTCCTCCTCCTCCTCCTCCTCCTCGAATGCCACCGTATAGCAGAAGATTGCTGCATCTCCGCTGGGCCCCCTGGCCCGACTAGAGGTTTGCACGCTGCGCACCGTGCAGAGAAGCCTCCCCTATGCCACCCTCCCTCCCTCACACGTTCAGTCGGCGCCCAAGCGCCGAAGCGATTCTGCTGCCCTCACTCTGCCCAGCTGCGCCTGCCGACGGAGTCCTGTCTATGTTCACGCCGTGGCTCCTTGGCGACCCCTGGCAAATTGCTGCCCCTGTCTCTCGAGCGCTATGGGAGGAAGCGCTCCGATTCTTGCCAGTCCGCCTGTCGCCTTCAGCGCCGTGTAGATCATGCGCACCTGTGGGATGTTGATTGGGTCGAGTTTGATCGGTTCCTTCTCGCTGCCCTCGCGGATCTTGTTGATATCGGCTTCCATCTTGGCGTTGAACGGGCTCTGTCTAGTGGGGTTCAGCATCATATGTACTTTCCTGCGCTCTCGCTGGCCCTCCGCGCAGGTTTTCTTCACCCTCATGTAGTGAGCTAAGTCCGCCAGCTCGTTGTGCTAAGGTCGATGGTGAGGCTCAGCTTCTTCCAATCTGCCTGGATGTGCTGCGGGAGCTCTGGCAGGTTGCCCGGAGCCACCAGGAAGCCCGCTGACACGTGCACGTGTGGCCTCCCCGTGTCCTCCTTCCCGTTCTGGCTGCGCCCCGCGTGCTTCTGCCCAGCACTGGCCCCGGCCTGCGTCGCCGCGTGATCCCCGTGTTCCTCCAGAGCGAGGTCCCACAGGCTGCCCGCGGTTGCCCTGATCTGTTGAGCGCTGCTGAGCGTGAGTTCTTCCATGGCGAATGCTTCCTCTCCGCTCGCCTCGCAGCCATCGGTCTTGCCAGCTTGCGCCTTCGGGTCGCCACGTGGGCGTGCTTCTTCGGCGGCCGAAGCCCTCCCCCCGCGCCTGGAGGACCGCGTGGCCGTCTGCCGTCTGCCGCCGCCCTCCACGCCATCCGGGCCCTCGGCGCGAGTGCAGACGTGATCCAAGTGCTCGGGCAGCTCGGAATGTGCAGCGGAGCAGTCTCCGCAAACGACGCACGAAGGATACTCGATGGGCCGCAATGCACAGGGCGTGGAAGGAGCGGAGCAGGTCTGGGGCACACGCTTGTTAATCGTGAGGCCATGTCGCAGGCATGAGGCACGTGAGGCACATGCTGTACGACACCATGGGCATACGTTCGTGGTGATAAGCACGGAGCTTGCTTTTCTCGTACGATGTGCAATGTGCGCCGTTAGTCCTTTGAGTTTCTGAAGCCTGCTTCCACAAAGTGTACCATCTTCGAGCTCATGTGTGCGTAGCCATTCGTCTATGATCGTGCTGTGCTCGCTGTTCGTGCCATTTCGCTCATGCTGCTCTGTGTTGTGCTGGCCGCTCCCCCCTTATGTCCTTCTCATACTCTGTAGGCGCCCAACCAATCTTCTCAATCGCTCCAGTTGATCTGCTACCGCAGGTTGGAGCGAGTCTCTGTTCGAGGCGATATCGCACCTGGAGAACGTGAGGGCTATTTCGTGGTTGTTGAAGACGTTGGGGATGGTTGCCCTATCGTGCCAATCGCGGTCAAGAGAACTATCTGCTTGGGCCAGCGCCCGTAATTCCTGCGTACACTGACGCGCCCACAGAGCGCTGCACTTTGTACGGCGGCCTCTAAAAGCGAGACGTGGCCGAACAAGCTGACGGTCGAGCTCAGTGGTGCTGAACATGGCCATTAGCTCCTGGCGATTGTTCTCTGGAAGCTGCGCCATGGCCTGGTACCAACGCAGCCTGTGCACTCGAAGTCCTGCCGTAGTGTCACATCTGTCCCAAGATTCCAGAACTGGCTTGCTGCTGAGCGTTCGAATGCGATTGTCATGCTGCTGTTTAGCTTTCCCTAGCATGAGGCAACGTAAGAGCTTAGTAATAGTCGTGTCCAGCGCCTGCGTGGACTGCACTGGCAAGACAAAAGGCCGTCAGCCCTGCGATGGCCGCGCTGTGCACGAAACGCAAGAACAGCGTGCGGTGATGTCGAAGACTGGAAGGCTGGTGCCAAACGTCGCCTGTTAATCTCCATGCTGCTGGGGCCATGAAGAAATGCGTCCCTGGAGGGCTCCTTGGCAGTCTGAAGCGAAACGTCCCCCGACAAAGAGATGAGGTGGTTGGTCTGGTCCGCGTTTATATAATGTGCATTTGCATGCAGATGCTATTGTCACTTGCTGGTTGCGTGATTAAGCTGCGTTGCCCAATGTCGTGTATTTATTAGATAAGCATGTGCACGGGGCCTTCTGACGTCGTCGTCAAAGAGCCCGATGCCCACGTCAACGATGGGTTTCCACCAGTTGCAGCTGGCCCCCGAAGCCAAGTCTGCATATGCTAACTCGCCGTTCCGTCTAGATCTCGAGTGGGGAATACATGTTTACGAAGTCTCTAGCCGCCATCGAGTGCCCCATCGTGGCCCCGATGCCAGTATGCATGTCTAGCTCCCCGTTTATTCCAGTGGCGTTCATGGTAGTCGTGCTTGCAGTCTGGTCCAGAATCTCAACGTTTTCTCTGCAGCCGTGATGTGCGTGGAGTGCTCGTAGTGCTTTCCTCTTGGTGCAGGCAAGCGCGTTCGTGCCATCGAAGCTCGAAATCGCGGGGCTAACTCTTGCATCTCGGCATCTCCAGCTAGCAGCCGCAATGCTCAGGATGCACGCACCCCTCCATGTGCGAAATCTGCGGGGTCGGGCGATGGCTTAGTCTATGAAGGAGTCCAAAATATGACATGCTGAACGCGTCAAAGCATTGCGGGATACGCTGACTCTGAATGCCGACACTGCCGTTGTTCTTCGCCTGTGCGAACGACTGTGCGCGCAGCGTCGAGACCGGGGCGAGCCCGACGATCCGAATGAGCGCAAGCAGGTCGTTGCATCGAAAACACGTCAGGGGTGCACGCCCGTCGCCGAGAAAAAAAACTGATACATGCGGACACCGGTGTGCATGCCGAGGGCCTCTGCACGTACTCTCCACGGCGGCCCCGCCCGCCGTTTTGGTGCACGTCGTAGGTACTCTATCTGTCCCATGCTGCCACTGCGCACAAGCTCCGTGAGTTCACGAGGCTGGTGTAGGTGAGGCAAGAAGCTCCGATCCGATACCCAGTCTTGCCAATTGAGACTGGTGCAGTTCACCCCTCCATCTTGCGGGTCACGAGGCATGCCGCTTTCCCACTCTGTCGTCGTCATCGCCGGCCTCGGGGAGAAGAGAACGCGCTTGTTGGTCCCTTACCAGCGCCAGCAATTGTAACCCCTCAACCTGTGCATCTCTGCGGTGCGTCCTTTGCGCCATGTTTTCCGAATTTCTTCCACCTAGGGGCTCGTGTTCTCCGACTTCTGTCGGCGTCTAAGTCCCTGCATGCGCATGGAAAATGATTCTAAGTGCGGTCTCTGTCGTGTCGAGCTCGCTCGAGCCATCGCCTTCGAAGCTTTTGCTGCCTGTGTTGTGGAGCCGTTCTCGATGTGCTGCTCCATCGCGCATCAACTGCATCCTCTGCTCGCGCATCTGCTCATAATCAACGATGGTGCTCTGCTGCTTGGGGGAATGCTCCTGCATGCTGTCACGCGCGCACTTTGCGAGCTTGTCCCACGCCGTTTGTACATTTCCTCAATTTCAATCCCAAATGTGCTTCCATTCTTCTTTGTCGATCTGTTGTGCGCGGGCCTCCGCCACCTCAAGAAACACCAGTTGTCGGTATCTTATGGAATAGGCCGCCACCGTCGAGTCCCTGTTGGCAGGGGGTGCAAATTGTGCCTGGTGAACTCTGCTAATACCAATGTTCATGTCGACACGCACCAGCAAATGAACATTAAGTGTGCGGACACATGTCGCTGTAATCTGCGAGCGAGGCCGCAATTTATTCAGCCTGCTGACATTAGGCGAGGCGGTTTGGGGCATAATGATGTGATCAATATTGCTCTTGTGCGCGCCCAGGCAGACTGTTGCTCCAGAAGCCCAAAAGCTCTCCGCTACCGCGAGGTGGTTATCAGGTAAGAATTCTCTCGCTATGGAAGAGACTTTTTTCTCCAATGCAGGCTCCGCGATGCCGGCCTCATCGCGCTCCTTCATGTACTTACGGCCAGTCATGCATCTTCTGACCCTTAATGCACACTTCAAATTTCCGATCATCAAAGGTAAACAATTGTTGCCCATGCGATCCAATTCGGACTGTATCCATGACAGTGCCGCTTTCACGCTGCTGTACAGAACCTTGACCGTGGTACCCTTTGGCGGCGAGCACATCGCAAAAACAGCCAAACTCATACGCCCTAGATGAAATTTGACAAGTCCAAATCTGCCAGGAAATCCTTGTGAGCGGGGCGGCGCCTGGATGTTCCTTCTCGCCGCACAGGACAGCTAATCCACAGCTTCTGTTGACTGCTCGCCCCTGTCGCCATCCGGACAGTATGGCTTTGTGGCATGGCAGTTGGCACCCGGTGAGCTCCGCGTCGATCGATGCCGCCTTGCCCGTACCAGTGGGTATGACAACGTCGCTATTCCTTGTGAATTCAGAAATCTCTTCCAATCTCCAGAAATCTGCTCTCTGTACGTTGTGGTCGATCTACTCTTCAGTCGCAGAAGCCAAAGAATGAGAAATGTGACCGAGCAGGCTCTTTGGCCCGAGCTGGCCCAGCCCCACTCCAAGCCCTTGGTCTGTCTGCTCGCACGGGGTTCAATGAACGGAGGTGCGGTCGGAGCTAGCGCACGGCTTGGGCCAGAGTTGCTTCCGGATGGTGGACGAGGAGGAGAAGGAGGAGGAGGAGGAGGACCAGTGCAAAACCAAGACTCATCAACGTCATTCCAATCAACCCTCCCTCCAATTCTCTCTTCATAGGCACCTACACGGATCCATTTTCATTGAGGGAAGTGCCTTGTTGGAAAGCAACCGTTTGAACATCCAGAATCCAAATCGCTTTTCTTTGGATATGAACGCCGCGAATCACCGTTACTGTTTCGTGTTGACGGTCCTGGATCGCGCCAGAACGCCGTTCTTGGGACGTCAATGCCGCGAATCAGCGTGATTGTGCGCCCTGACATTCCGACTTCATGCCAAAACAATAAGGTTGGGACGTTAGCCATGATCATCCTTGAAGTTGTTGCACATTCTCAAGACGAGTGTGCGCGGAGCTAAGGCGAGAGACATATTTTGAAACATAAGCGCCCTCCATACGTGAAGCTCTTGCAACATGTTGAAAACGAATGTGCGCTGCGCTAAGGCGAGAGCCCCATTTTGAAAACGGGCCGCCCTCGATCCGTGAAGCTCTTGCAACCTTTTAAGACGAATGTGCGCGGCGCTAGGGCGAGAGCTTCATTTTGAAAACGGGCCGTCCTCTATCCGTGAGCCTTTTGCGATTATTCAGCTTCAGGACTAGACATAGTGGGGAAGACTCAGGCGAAACGCCTGGCCCGCCCTTTCGATTGGCCTCGGGATGCGACAGGGATCGTTATTCACAAGGAGAAGGGATGGAGGAGGAAGAGGAGGAGGAGGAGGAGGAGGAGGAGGAAGAGGAGGAGGAGGAGGAGGAGGTTGAAGAAGGGTCAAGGATCAGAGGATCGAGGAGGTCTAGGGCGCCTTTGGGCGACTTTGGGGGTCCTGGAGGGTTCTGGGGCTCCCTGGAGGAGTCGGCGACCTCTCGGCGGCCACCCCCTTCCCCTTTGGCACTGCCTGGGAGGTCGAGGGCATCGACGAGGTGGACCTCGAGGAGAGGCTGCGGAAGGCGGGCCTGAACCGCGAGCAGCTGCAGCTGGTCTTCCAGGAGCGCGTGCACGAGGCCGCGCAGCAGGCCTCCGCGGCCCCGGGCCCCAGTGGCGGCGGCGGTGGCGCCGGCCGCGCGCCAGCGGGCCGCGGCGCCGCCGGCCGCGCGCCGGCGCGGCGCGGCGAGGAGCCCCACCTGAACCACGTCACGACGCCCATCGGCCCGAGCTTCCTGCACCAGGAGCGCGCGTCGCCGTGGATCTACCAGCGCCGCGCAGAGGAGGAGCGGCAGCGCCTGGAGAGCGAGGAGCGGGAGCTGCAGCGCCGCGGCTTCCGGGCCCGGCCGGTGCCCGCCACGCTGCTGGCGCCGCGGCCGTGGCAGATCACCCAGTCGCAGCTGCCTGGCGCCGCCAGGCGGAGCAGGTCCGCGGAGGGCGCCCGCGGCTCGGCGGGCGCGGCGGAGCGCGCGCCCTCCGCGGAGCGGTCCCTCTCTGCCGAGCGCTCGCGGCCGGGCTCCGCGCACGGCCCGCGGGAGCGGCGCTCGTCGCCGCGCTTCGACCTCTCGACGCCCGAGAAGGTCCACCAGGCGCAGCCGCGGCGGGCGCGGCCGGTGCCCTGGAGCTGCACGGCCCCGCTCTACGACCAGATGCTGGCCGAGAAGGAGCGGCTGCGCGCCGAGCGCTCGGAGCGGCACGTGCGGCAGAGGATGCGCTCGTCGTCGCTGCCCCCGCGCCTGGAGGCCGTCCGGGCGACGATCGCGGGGGAGGCGGCGGGCCACGGCCGCGTGCACCGCGCCAGCACGCCGGTGCCCGCGGCGCAGCTCGCCTCCGGCGCCGCCCCGCGGAAGTTTGTCGTCGGGCGCGCGCACCGCGCCGAGAGGAAGCTCGAGGCGGCGCCGGGACCCGGCCGCGGCGGCGCCCGCGCCGTCACGGACGCGGCCGAGGGCATGGCGCGCGCCGCGTCGGCGTCCGTGCTGCTGGGCGCGGGCGGGGGCCCCTCGTCGACGCTGCGAGGGGCGCTCGGCCACTCGGCGCTCTCGGAGGGAGGCCCGGCGTCGCCCCTGGGCCAGCTGGAGGGCCTGGCGGCGCAGGCCGGCAGGACCGGCGTCTATGGCCGCTCCTACGGCCTCAGCCACTTCTCCCCGCCCGAGAGGCCAGCGACGGGCGGCCGCGCCGAAGCAGCGCCGGACCACCGCTCGGTGGGCCAGCCCACGATCTCCAGGGAGGTGCCAGACTTCGCCGCCCTCCACGAGCGGGAGAAGCAGATGCTCGAGCGGCGGAAGAGCAGGAACCGCCAGCTGACCCGGCAGGCGCCCTTCGTGTTCCACGTCCCGCGGCCGGCCAGGTCGACGGTGAGACAGCCCAAGCTGGCGAAGGACGGGGGAGCAAGAAACGTGCTTCTCTCAGGAGGGGAAACACACACACAGACACAATTAATCGTCGAGTCCCAGGAAAATATGGGAAAATATGGGAAGTGGGGGGGAAGACAAACAACCCAGAAGATATAGGAAAATATGGTGCATATTTTTATTTGTGTGTATTTATTCGTGTGTCCTTGGGCCCCTTCATTCTCCCGTGGCGCGATCTGGCAGGGACTTCGAGGCGAGTCCCGCCGTGGCGACGAGGGAAGGTCAGGAGGGGAAAAAACACACAGACACAACTAATCGTCGATCCCCCAGGAAATATGGGGAAATATGGGCAGTGAGGGGGGAGACAAAAAACCAGAAAATATGAGAGAATATGGGGGATCCGGCTATTTGTGCGCATTTATATGTGTGTCCCAGGGCCCCTTCAGAAGGGCAGCTGCAAGGGATCGCCTGAGACAGGCGACGTCTGGATTTTTTGTCCATGCGGAGCCCCCGGAAGTCCCGCCGCCTTCCCCAGGACAAGTTTCTCACTCTGAGTCGGTTTTTGTTTCGGCCCCAGGGCGCAAGAAGGAAGGGCCCCTGAATAGAGGCCCAGACCAGCCAGTCCTGATTTTTTTGCATGGAGGCTTGTGGTAGGCAGGGCCGGTGGCGTCCACATTTCTCATCGTACCTCCGATTGCTGCGTAAGGCGTAAGCCCTGCAGTTGCGGATTTGAGTGAGGCGCCGAATGAGGAGTCGGGGAGGGGCCGCGTAAGAACAGCGCAATATGTTGAGCTTCCCCAAGACTCTCAGTGAGGCCGCCTTCCGCTTTCCGGAGGGTTTCGGCTCGGCGGCGGCTGCGGCGCCTGCGGTAAGGCAGACGTCGCTAGTGAGCCGCGCCGTGCCTGATCAAAATTTGGTGTTCAATAGGAGCAGCATGATGTTGCACCGCCAGTCCGAACAAGAGCCGCGCCGCACGCGCTGCTCTTTCTGGTGGGCGCAGTCGCGGGCGCCAGTAGAGGCAATTAGAGGCGCGCCTGGGGATTACGAAGACCGGTTCGTCAGATGCGAGCGCTGCTGGGGTAAAAACTCTGGCGGCGTCCCGCATTGGTCTCGGCCGGAATCCTCCGGCGAGGAGGAAGGAGCATCGCTTGTCCAGGATACACGAGATTCCTCCGGGTCAAGCAGCTCCGCAGCCATCGGATCGTAGCGTCGCCCGGTACGGGGCACGCGTTGGGGCAGTGCGACGCGGTAATGCGGAGCCGAGAATGCCCAGCCCTGAAAGTGGGGGCGCGTTGGGAGTTAGGCCTGGGCAGATCACGAACGTGACTGTCGGGGCCCGACAAGTGACTGCCAACGAGAGCCCTGAGAAAAGAACAGGGCGACAGCGTGGACCCCTGACAGGGGGCCGCCATAGTGCAAGCGCTGTTTGGGAATTGTGTGGACTCCAGACAGGGTCTGCGTGGCGTAGTGCAAACGCTGTTTGGGAGTCGGTGCAAGCGCCGCCGCCGCCGTCGCGTCGTCGTCGTCGTCGTCTTCTGCCTGCCTCCTCTCCTCCCTCCTCCCTTGCCTTGTGCTGTCTCCCTCCTCCATCCTCCCTAGCCAGGTAGCAGGGGAAGTGGTAGCAGCAGAGCAGGGAGTGTGCGGACGATGAGAATTGCATGGAGGCTTGTGGTAGGCAGGGCCGGTGGCGTCCACATTTCTCATCGTACCTCCGATTGCTGCGTAAGGCGTAAGCCCTGCAGTTGCGGATTTGAGTGAGGCGCCGAATGAGGAGTCGGGGAGGGGCCGCGTAAGAACAGCGCGATATGTTGAGCTTCCCCAAGACTCTCAGTGAGGCCGCTTTCCGCCTTCCGGAGGGTTTCGGCTCAGAGGCAAAAGGGCGCGTTTGCCCACCCGACAGCGTCTCCCACCCTTTGCAACAAATAGTAGCAAGAGTAAACCTTGTGAACATGTCTTGCGTGGAATATAATTAAGGGTGATCGAGAGGTTGTTTTTGCCCCCCGGGGGCGCTCGAAACACGACCCTTGAGAAGGGGGCCCGCTTATTCTCAGGACCAGCCGGCGCAACAAGCGAACCCGCTCCTGCGAGAGAAGCCGCCCGACGGCACAAAATGCACATTGTTGAAGTTAGACGATAACTGCGCATCTGGGTCGTCGCCGTCTTAGTCGTTAATTAATATGTATAATCGATCAAGTGCCGTCTCAAAATTCCCCCTTCCCTTCCAACCCCGACCCCTTATGGAGGAAGAGGTGGAGGAGGATATCAAGAAAGAGAGACCGGCAGTGTCCCAGCCGTCGGATGTGGTGCCCCGGCGACTCGAAAACCGCAAAATAGTGCTGGCGCGTATCTCTGTCTTCGCTCCTGTGCTGGCTTGAATGAAGGTACTGGCGGCAACGGCTCTCGACCCCATCCTTTGCAAGACGGTGCCGGTGCACTGTCTGAGTTCTCGACCCCGTCCCAGGAGCTGAGGAGCCTTCCCACCCCCTCATGCCGTTCCCCTCCTACTTGTATATATATATATATATGTACATGCGATATCATTCTTCGCGTTCTGTGCAAGTGAGAGCGTAACAGTCTGTAGACGTGTATAAACATATGCCAGCCTTAAGGGTCCGGGAGCGACTACCGGCCACGCGGCCGGGACAGTTCGTATGTACCCATGCTCTTTTATCGTGTCAAAATTACGTTGTATGTTGCGGACTGTGCGCCAACCGAGCTATCCGGAGCCTTTGTGGCTCAAAGGCGCGGGCGGCGCCGCCCAAACACAACAAACTTACCGGGCGATAGGAACAAACTTCTGTAAGCCAAGTGTGGCGTTGGAGCTGGATCCTCGTCTGGACAAGTTGCTTCGCAAGCACGGTGTCGACGAGAAAGTGTTTGCGTACCTCAAGACTAAGCAGATGGTAGCAATCTGCAAGTTCGCAGGCCTTGCGGACACGAAGGCCGATGTGGGCGAGGGCATTTGTACCCCTGCGGGGTTAGATGCCTCCGACAGGCCGCTATGCCAGCCGGTAAAGGCTGCGTGGCAGGAGGCCGAAGCCCTGGTAATTGGCGAGCTGGAACTCATCAAGAAGGGTAAATTCGGCGACTGGGACGACCCAGTGGACCCAGAGGTGCGAGCCAAGAAGACCAACACTTTCGTGGAGTACTACCACATCCGCTTGCCAGCCCACCTCCTCGGAAACGATGCGTTGATGGGGCGCTTGGTGCGCGAGCACGAGCGCTGGGCCCCCACGGTGCACGACCTCCGGAAGGTGCGCCCCCTTGACAACGACGCCACGCAGTACAAGTCCGAGGATAACAACATGTCGGCCCACACGTTCACCTACAGGCACCGCGTCCTCATGAACACGATGGCGTGGGCTGCTGCGCCCGAGTGGGCGGCGGCGGACTGGTCGGCATTGTTGGACTACCACGAGTGGGTCGTGCTCAAGATGTACGAGAAGAAGAACGGGCGTCTCCCCAGCGTGGAGGCCGTGCGGCGCGCAGACCAGCAGATGCGCGCGAAGTGGGTGGACGTCGTGCGCAACGACAACAAGACGCTCACGGAGGCCGTGAGGGAGTGCAGGACCGAGTGGGTCTCCCTCTTCGCAGAGCTCCACGCCGACTTGGGCACGGCGGGGAGCCAAGGGGACGGGGCCCCTGCGCCCGCCAAGAAGGCCCGCGCGGCCCTCGAGACCGTCGCGGCCGACAGCTCGGGTAAGGAGTTCTGCAAGTTCCACAACAACGGCAAGTGCAACTACGGCAAGCGGTGCAAGTTCAAGCACGCCTGCAATGTCAAGGGCTGCGGGGGTGACCACCCGGCCTGCGACAAGGAGTTCCACCCGTGATCCCCCGGTAAGGGGGGGTGCTCGCCCTCGGTAAAGAGGGGCAGGCGATGCTCGAGTGAAGATGTTTTTGCGCCGCGCGCAAAGCGTCTGAGAGGGCAGTCGCCGCTGAGCCGCGGGGTGGGCTTCGGTGGCGCTCGCGACGCGCCGGCAATGGCGCGCGCGGGCCGCGCAATTGCAAGCGGCTTGCAGCCGCGGAGCGCCGGCGCGGCGCCTCTGGTGCCGGAAGGCGTTGGGCCTCGGGGGTTCCTGGAACACGTGACAACCCTGGAACACCCGATGTGCGGTCCTCCCACCTTGCACGCTTCGGTAGAGGAAGCGTACCGGAGGCAGGCTGCCGATCCGGAGGTGGTGAAACGAACCAGGTTGCAAGCTTGTGCGCTCATCTCTGAATGGGCAAACGAATTGGAACCCGAGAGGGAGGCGTGGGCTGCCGCCTTGCATCCCGACGTGCGCCGGGTAATCGGCCACCTGCACGGGCCCCTCTTGAAAAAACTGGTCAGCGTGTCGGGGCACCTGGACAAGGCGCACTTCGACTCCTTGTGCTCGGGGCGGCCGGCCTTGGGCGCAATCCAGCCTGCTGGCCTCTGGAGAGCGGCTGAGTCTGTGGCGTCAGTCGACCTGCAGGACTGGATCAAGGAGGCGCCAGCGAGGAACCGACGCATCGTCGCTGGCGTCAAGGGCTCGGGCGACGCCGCCTTGGACCAAGCAGCGTGGTCAAAGCGCGAGAAAGAGATTGCCACTGGCGCCGTTGAGGGGCCATTCTCTGTCTCGGATGTGGACCTCGCTGATGTGGCGGTGCACCTCAGTTTCCCGGTGTGGGAGCGCGGGCCCACCGGCTCCTGGAAGGCACGCAACATCGAGAACCTCAAATCCAGTGGCGCCAATGCAACCGTTCACACGACGGAAGCGTACACGCCGGACGATTTGGACACGGCGCGAGCCGCTGTGCGCTTCTCGAAAGAACTCTGGGGCGCTGGAGACCCCCTCGCGGGGTTTACAGCCGACTACAGCGGTGCTTTCCGCCAGAGTCCGCTGGCCCCGGAGCAGGTCCAGTGGATGTGGTCGGCGACGTGGCACCCCGGGCGGCGCGAACCAGTCCTCCTGCGCAACTTGGGACAAGTATTCGGGGGCGCTGGGTCGCAGTTCAACTACGTCAGGGACCCGGCGGCGATGTGCGCCATATAGCGAGGCATTTCTTTGCCATCCCAATGCGCCACTACAGCGACGACGCCTGGTGCGTGGAGCGCGCCTGCACAGCTTCCTGCGCGCGGTTCTGTTGGGCATGGCTTCACAGACAGGTTGGGTGGAGGCTCGATCTTCAGAAGTCGCCTCTGCCAGCTGGCGTGTGGAAGCTGCTCGGGGCGGAGCTCTCAGTGGACGCCCCCCGGCCCGTCGCTCGGTTGCCGGAACAGAAAGCAGCAGCTTTGATCGGTGACATCGACTACTACCTGCAGAGCTGCCGGTTGCCTGCTGCAGAGGCGGGCCCCCTCAGAGGCCGCTTGGGATGGGCACGTTCGTTTCTCTTCGGCCGCTACGGCTCCGCAGCGCTGGTGCCACTGAGGCGTCGGCAGTTCGATGGCAGCGGGCGGATGGGCACGCCGGCGTCCCTCAGTGCCTCGCTGCGCTGGTTCCGGCACGCTCTGCGCGAGCAGTCAGGCCGCGAAGTCCCTTTCGATCTTCAATCGTGGCCGCTCGTTGTCACGGTGAGCGACGGTGAAGGCACGGGGCGAGTGGCAGCGGGCATATGGAAGCCGCGTGACCCAGACTTCCGGCCAATGCTCACCGCCACTGCGGTGCCAGAGCCCTGGATGGAGCGGTGGCTAGGGCACGATCGTGTGAACGCCATTCAGGAGATCGAAGCGGTGGGCCCTCTGCTGGCGTTGGCAACGTGGCCGACGTTGTTGCGCAGATGTGTATGGATTCATTTCATCGACAACGAATCCGCCAAGTACTCATTGATCAAGGGTTCGTCTAGAGCTGTCCGCACGAACGAAATCGTGCACGCGACCTGGGAGGAGTGTCGTTCCAGGTGCATTTACCCGTGGTGGGAACGGGTGGCCTCAGCAGACAATCCCGTCGACAAAGCATCGCGCGGAGATCTGGCCGACCTCTACGAGCAGCAGTGGGTCGTCGTGGACCCTGCGCTGCCGGACATCTGGAGGCGGGACGCAGGCCGGAGTTAGGCCTGGGCAGATCACGAACGTGACTGTCGGGGCCCGACAAGTGACTGCCAACGAGAGCCCTGAGAAAAAAAGAACAGGGCGACAGCGTGGACCCCTGACAGGGGGCCGCCATAGTGCAAGCGCTGTTTGGGAATTGTGCGGACTCCAGACAGGGTCTGCGTGGCGTAGTGCAAACGCTGTTTGGGAGTCGGTGCAAGCGCCGCCGCCGCCGTCGCCGTCGTCGTCGTCGTCGTCTTCTGCCTGCCTCCTCTCCTCCCTCCTCCCTTGCCTTGTGCTGTCTCCCTCCTCCATCCTCCCTAGCCAGGTAGCAGGGGAAGTGGTAGCAGCAGAGCAGGGAGTGTGCGGACGATGAGAATCAAGACTCTGGCATGCTTGGGTCTTCCTTCGGGGAACGAGGAATGATAACGAGGGAACAGAAACTCACAGAGACAAGTAATCGTCGATCCCCAGAAAATGTGGGAAAATATGGGAAGCGGGGGGGGTAGACAGAACCCCAGAAAATATACGAAAATACAGTGAATCTGGTTATTTATGTGTATGGTAGTGGCCTCTGGCCAGTGCCGCCGATCCGGGGCGCTCGGGATGATGATGGTGGTGGTGACGATGATGATGATGCTGATGATGATGATGATGATGATGATGATGATGATGATGATGATGATGATGATGATGATGGATATGGTGATGCTGATGATGATGATGATGGTGGTGATGGTGATGGTGATGGTGATGGCGATGGTGGTGGTGATGATGATGATGATGATGATGATGATGATGATGATGATGATGATGATGATGATGATGATGATGATAATGATGATGGTGATGTGACGATGGTGATGGTGATGGTGATGGTGATGGTGATGGTGATGTGACGATATTAGTGGTGATGGTGATGATGATCCCGCCCCCCCCCCATCCTCTCTCCTGTCCCCCCCCACCTCCTCTCTCCTGTCCCCCCCCTCTCCTGTCCCCCCCCCCTCTCTCCTGTCCCCCCCCCCTCTCTCCTGTCGCCCCCCATCCCCCCCTCCCCCTCTCTCCTGTCCCCCCCCCCTCTCCTGTCCCCCCCCCCTCTCTCTTGTCCCCCCCCCTCCCCTTGCAGAGCGCCCATCTGCAAAGCGGACCCTCCCGGCTTTCCCTGCAGCTTCCGCTCCCGCCTGAGAGGGCCCCCCCCTTTGCAGCTCCCCCCCCGTGCAGAGCGTCCCCTTCCCTCGCCTGCCCTCACCCTTGCAGAGCCCTTGCAGAACAAAACTCCGGGGGGGGCGCCGAAATCGAGGGGGGGGGGGGGGTGGGGGGGGGGGTAGGGGAGAGGTGCCGAGCACGAATTCGGACAGTTCATGAGGCCCCCCCCCCCGCCCTCCCCCCCTCCCAAGCAGAGCTAAAAGCTCATGCTGAAGCAGAGCTTCCGCTCAGGACTTCTGAAACTCACACGCCAGAGCGGCGGATTTCTTTTGTGTGTGTCCCCGGGCCCCTTTGAAGAGCTCGGAGGCCCGCGCGGATTTTCCTCGGATCGGCGCTCCGCCGCCCCGGCGGCGCCTCCTGCGCCGACCCCCGCTGGCGCGCTCCGCGCGCCCGCGGGGTGTGTGTCCAGCGCCGAGCCGAGAAATCCGCGCCGCCGCCGAGTCTTTTTTTTTTCAGGGGGGGGAAAGAAAGCACACAGACACAAGTAATCGTCGATTCCCAAGGAAATATCGGCACATCTGGGAAGTGGGGGGGGAACGCGAAACTCCAGAAAAGGTACTTGTATCTATTTCTTTGTGTGGCCCAGGGCCCCTTGATTTTTGGGTGTATGTCCTTCTTCGTTCCCCTATTCCGAGTAGTAGCGAGGCGTCCTAGCTTTCCTACAGGCCTACCGAACAATGCTCTAAGGACCTCTTGTGGTCTGCACGAAGTGTCCTTGGAACATTTCTGGCTGGGACTGTCTTGTTTTAACGCATCGGGTTTATGGTTTAAGGACCTTGATTTCGTTATTATAGAACATTTTGGGGTTCTACGAACATATTTCGTGGTACTCCAAATCCCTTAGTGGTCGTCCCCCAGGTCCTGTTTTTTAAGGCGCCTTTTTTGTAATTGGGGGGTCTGGTTTATTAGGGCGCTTTCTTTGGATTCGAGCTTAGGGGGTCCGGTTTATCAAGGCGCCCTTTCGAAGAGGGGGGTCCGGAATGTTGGGTCGCATTTGGAGGGGGGTCCGTTTTTTTTTGTGTGTGTGGGGGGGGTCGATTAGTGCGGGATTTGGAGTAGGCCTGTAGGAATGCCGGGACGATTTGTCCCTGCTCAACCCCAGACATCCGACGTCTCGATGTTTTCGAGACGCGGGCCCCCGACCTCCCGACCACTTCCCTGGGACCGGTTTTTTTCATCCCGAGTTGTTTTTGGACGGTCCCGAGACCCGGCGAGGGCCCCGAAAGGCCAAAAACTATGAAAAACCTCTGTGTCGATTTTCCCTACCTAGGCTCTGCCTAGAAGGGCTCTTACTCGGTATGCTTAAAGGCCGGGCAGTGCAACTCGCCCCGGGCGGTTCCCCCAGTATCCGCCCCGCGGTTCCCCTAGTTGCGTCCCCTTAGCTTGGCGTTGCTTATCTCATCTTAGCTTAGCTTATTTCATCTTAGCTTAGCTTCATCTTAGCTTAACTTAGCTTCATATCCGTAAGGGCTTCGCCCCCTGCCGCCGGCCCCCTCTCTCGGAGAATGGGCCGTGGAAGAGCTAAGTCATGAGGCCTTGGCGCTGTCGTGAAGCAGTATCGAAACTTCATGCGAAGCCGATTCGCAATCAGCAAAACCAACTGATCACAAGAGGGGTTACCACACCTGGCGATTGGTAAGACGTGTATGGTTTACGGGCTTGGTTACCACACCTTGCGATTAAAGGGCCGAGGGAGTTCTCGCAGTTTGGGTTACCACGCCTTGCGATGGATGTGCATGAAGGGTGGCACAGAATTTCAGAAATGTGGCAAATCCCCTGTGTTTTTGGACCCTGACCCCGCGGATCTGCGTAAGGGGTGGCGCCGAATTTCAGAAATGTGGCAAATCCCTTGTGTTTTTGGACCCTGACCCCGCGGATCTGCGTGAGGGGTGGCACCGAATTTCAGAAATGTGGCAAATCCCCTGTGTTTTTGGACCCTGACCCCGCGGATCTGCGTGAGGGGTGGCACCGAATTTCAGAAATGTGGCAAATCCCCATGTGTTTTTGGACCCTGACCCCGCGGATCTGCGTGAGGGGTGGCACCGAATTTCAGAAATGTGGCAAATCCCTTGTGTTTTTGGACCCTGACCCCGCGGATCTGCGTGAGGGGTGGCATCGAATTTCAGAAATGTAGCAAATCCCTTGTGTTTTTGGACCCTGACCCCGCGGATCTGAGTGAGGGGTGGCACCGAATTTCAGAAATGTGGCAAATCCCATGTGTTTTTGGACCCTGACCTCGCGGATCTGCGTGAGGGGTGGCACCGAATTTCAGAAATGTAGCAAATCCCATGTGTTTTTGGACCCTGACCCCGCGGATCTGCGTGAGGGGTGGCACCGAATTTCAGAAATGTGGCAAATCCCATGTGTTTTTGGACCCTGACCCCGCGGATCTGCGTGAGGGGTGGCGATTTCGAGCCCCCCAGCAATTCAGACAACGCGCCCAGGGGACGCTAAAAAGCCGGTTTGGGCCTCCCCCCCCCTCGCGCGGTCAATCAACTAGTTACAGTAACCAGCAATAAGCAGAACTGTAACACTGGAAACTACAAGCTACAACTGGTACAGGAAACTGCGAATCCCGCTCCTCGCAGCCTGGTGGCCCCACAAGGGGGCCGGCGGATAAATGTTGCTTTCCTAGATCCTCCAACTCCTAGATCGGGTCGCACTGGGATAATTTTCGAGACGCCCGATGTCTGGGGCTGCTCCTCCCCCTGGGAGGACCCCTCGTCGGACTGGCGCTTCTCGCGCCCGCGCAGCGCCGGGGCGCCCCGTGCCGGGTCTGCGGGCCCGAGCTGGCGCCAGGCGCTGGAGCGCCCCACCGCCGCGCCGCCGCGCTCCACCGAGAAGGCTCAGAGCCCCGAATCATCAGGGGTAACTCGGGTCAGGGCTAACTCGGGTTCGTTTTTCGGGATTCCGAACCCGAGTTGCCCCGGGCCCGAGTTACCCCGGATAACTCGGGCGCCCAAGAAGGCGCTGCAGTGGCAGCACCACACGCGGCGCTACCTGCAGGAGCTGGCCGAGCGCGAGCAGAGGGCGCAGGAGGCCAAGGATTCAAGCAGTTTGCGAAGCGTCCTGGTTCGCCTCTAGCCCTATACCAAACCAATGTGCGTAGAACCTTTTTTTGTGGTTTCCAAGACATGTTCTTAGAGCGTTTCTGGCGCAGTCTGTCTTGTTTGAACACATCGGGCTTATGTTCTAAGAACATGGTTTTTGTTCTTAGAATATTTGGGGGGTCTAAGTGGCCAGAATCACCAAGCCAGGTCTGCCGTAGCTGGTGTTTCTGTCGGGTGACGGCAGTTCCGTTGATGGAACGGGGCGGGGGGGGCGTCCCCCTGTACACATCACTAACCCAGTTCCAAGCCCAGTTCTGCCAACGCCCGAGACTGCACGTCGGAGTGACCCTTTGCCGGAGTGGCCTTTTGGTGCGGGCCCATCTGGGGCCTCCCGATCGCCGAGCGCGATACGGTGGAAGCGTTCGGTCTGGCGTGCCCTCCTACAGGCGGATGCTGAAGGAGAAGTATGCAGTAGTCAACAAATGTTCAAAAATAGTCAAAAACAGTTGGAAAAATCGTCCCCATATTATTTTTGGACTATTTTTGAATATTCCTCCTGTGGAGGGACGTGCCCGACTTCATGGTAGCGTCTTGCGCGCTGGTGTTTGGTCCCCCCGCGGCCCCCCAAAACGCCGCGCACCAAAGGTCGCTCTCACCCGGGGCCGCTCCTGCGCGTAGCCGACAGGAGCCTCCCGCCACGAAGGCCTCCCCCGAGATGCGCCGCCGCGTGCAGGAGGCGGCGGCAGCGGCTGGCCCGGTGGAGCCGCTGCAGGAGCATCGCGGATCGCGGCTGCAATCGAGCAGTGGCGAGGCGTCCTGGCTTGCCTGTGGGCCCACCAAGGAATGCTCTAAGAGTTTTTTGTTTGTGATTTGCTGGCAGTATCCTTAGAACAGTTCTGGCTGAGACGGTCTTGTTCTAAAGCATCGGGTTTATGTTCTAAGAGTATTGCTTTTGGTTCGAGAACATCTGTTTTTACTAACAAGAATTCGTAGTACGCCGATCGGCGAATGGGAATGCCAGGACGGCCGGCCCCTGCTCGATGCCACGTGCGAGTGCTCTTTCGCCGCAGATCTCTGCGGTGCGGCCCCCAATCGCCGGCTGCGATGCGATATCAGCGGCTTGGGTTGCCCCCCCCCTTTCCAGGCGCCCCTTCTGCCGCGCACCAGGGGCCGCTCTGGCCCAGCGTCACCCTGGCGTGTGTAGCCGAGGAGAGGGCGCGAGCCGGCACACCCGCACATGCCGATCCCGACCGAGCCGACCCCGGGCGCGCGGGGCCCTTTGTCGCTGCCTGCCCCCCTCTGACAACCCCTGGCGCAGCTTCTGCCTCGCCCGCCGCTTCGGCTCGCCCGGACTCGGGCTCCTGGGGATCCTCGCGGACCGATCTGCCTCGAGCAGCGCCGCAAGACGTCGGGGGGGTCGGTCTGGGGCTCTCCGGTCGCGACGTCCCAAGGCCAGACCCCCGACGTCGTGATCCTTTCGGGACGCGACCTGCAGAGGTCCGCACCCCGTCCCCGGGGCCGGCTTCTCCTCCCGAGTCGTCCTGATTGGACGCGTCTTCCCGCGCGGCCCGGGGGGGGCCCCTGGAGGCCGGGCCGACCCGGCCCTTCCGAAAGGAGCCCATATCCGGCGCGCCGAATGGACTCCATCGAGCACGCGGCGTGGGAGGTCCCCGCGAACCGACCCGAAAAGAAAGGTGGAGCCCATCCGGCGCCGAAGGGACTCTCTCTCGAGGTTAGAGCCCACCCGGCGACAGAGGAGCCCCTCCGGCGACAGAGGAGGCCTCGAGGCCGAAAGCGGCGAGCGAGCTCCCGTCGGGATCTCTGCGCGGCGCGAGGGGGTCTGCGGGTGGGGTCGTCTGCGGCCCCGGCCGCGATGTCCCGGCACGGTGCGCAGCGCTCGGCCCGCGCAGTGGGGCCCCACGGCCCCTGACCTCCCGGGAGGGCTACAACCCTGACCTTCCAGAGTGCTAAGAAATAGCCCTCCAGACGTAGAGACCTATCTGGGCTGCCTAAAACCTCGACAGGAATTAAGATACCGAGGTCCTGGTGCTTTTCATTAGCCCTCCTGGAAGGTCAGGGAAGGTGGCACCAGTCTAGGCCTCCTCCTGGATGGGGTCGGAGTAGACGGGGTCGGAGGATCGCGCCGCATCGCCGATGCATCGACGATGCATCGTCGATGCAGAGCCCGCTGTTCTCCGCGCCGACGTCGGCGACACATCGGCGACGTCGGCGATGCATCGACGATGCATCGTCGATGCAGCGGCGATGTGGCGCGATCCTCCGACCCCACCTACTCCGACCCCATCTAGGAGGTCTCTAACCAGGGCCTCGACATCTGAGTTCCCGCCGAGGTTTTGGGCCGCCCAGATAGGTCTATCGGTCTGGAGGGCTACTCTGGGTTTCTGAATGAGCGTGGGGGTATCGCCGCGCTCATTCAGAACGACGGGGGGCCAACCTCGTCTCGTCGTCGCGCCGCGACGGGGGTCGGATCGCTTTCGGCGCGCGGTGGCTACTCCCGACGGGGGTCGATGTAGTGCTGTCGGCGGGGGTGACGCCCCCCCGACGCTGATCATGAAACTCGGAGTACTTGTTATTCTGGAAGGTCAAGGGGGTGCCCTGAAGGCCACGCAAGGAGGGCCCAGACCCCCGACGTTATGATTTTGTCATGACGCGACGCCCAGAGGTCTGGACCCATTCCCAGGGACCGGTTTTTCATCCTGAGTCGTTTTTTGGCGGCCCCGAGGCCCGCTGAGGGCCCCGGCCGAAAACAGTGAAAAACCTTCGGTCTTGATTTTTTCGTGACTCGCGGGGGTCCTGGCTGGCCACGCAGGGGCGCAGGGTGCCGATCCCCGGGCCCAGGGTCGGCCCGGCCACGGGCCGGTGTAGTAAGCGGCTGCAGAGTGCCGGCGCGCGCCCTCCGGGCCACAGGAGCGCATCAGCCGCATCGTCGCCGACAAGCGGCAGGACAGCGCGCTGCTGCACCGGAAGAAGCGGGAGGCTCGTGGGCGACGAAGCTCAACTCAGGAGGAGGAGGTGCGGGCAATGGTTATATCCACATCCAGTGAGTCTTGGAGTTTTGGGCTTCCTTCCCCAGAAACTGGAGGCGCACTGGATATGGATAAACATCTGACCCTCAAAGGCTCGAATTTTATCCATATCCAGTGCGACTCGGCCTTGCGGCACCCTTTCCCAAACAGTCCAAGACGCTCTGGATATGGACATAAGTATTGCCCGCAGGAGGAGGAAGCTGCCCACACCGCTACACACCCCTCCTCGTTTCCCCCCGTTTCGGGCCTCCCGGGAGGCCATCGCCGCCACCGCTGGATTCGAGGTCCTGGTCGGAACGCACCCCGGGGGAGGTCGGGGGAGCAGCGGTATCGGTACCTCTCGGTCTCCCCCAGGACATACAGTCGAAATCCATGATAAGCATGGCTTGCCTTGCAAAATGGTACCCTTGCATCCTCGCCTCCTCGGTCCATCCTCAATCGCTTTCGATGGCCGGACCCGCTCGAGAAGCTTCGACATGGGCGTCCAAGGGGCTTTGCATTCTTCTTACGCGTCCTTGCTATCAAATTCGACTGTATCCGTATCCACGGCCTCGCGGGCTGGGCCCCTGGGCCGCGACCACGCTGTTACAGCGTGTTCTTGTTTTGCGGATGCCCCGCGCGGGGCGCATCTGTGCGACCGCGTATCCGCGGGATTGCGCCCTGGAATCCAGACCGCGAGTGCGCGGATGTTGGTATGTTGCCGCTCGTGAGACCGTAGACAGGCTAACGGCGATGTGGGTACCGGCGATGTAGGTTTCGGTATTGTGGGAACGCGCGGCTCCCGCTTTCCTGCGTGCTCGCTCGATCCATTCGCAGACTGGAGATGTAGAAATGTGTGGTTCGTCGTGAACGACTACACTTGGATTATGAGGAACATCCTGGAGGCCTCGCGCGGCGCGTAATAGTAGTATGATCTAGTTTACCTGTCAGTTCCGTCAGCTATGGGTCGACGCTCGCGTGGCGATGCTCCAGAGTCAGCCCGACGCAAATCCGCCGTCCATCCGACGTAGTCCGACGTGAGCCCGACATCAATCCGATGTGGATCCGACGTGCATCGGGTCTCAGGTTGCAGCGCGAGGCCTCCAGGGCCTTCCTCATAACAACTCTGGTTCCCAACGTCACCGTCAATCAGCATCGCCGTGAGCCTGGCCTTGGAGGGATCGGGGACAACGATAGGGGGGGAGGCAGGTACAGGAGGGGGGGGGTGCATGGACCCCCAATCGCCCGTTGATAGCCGATAAGGGCCCGATAGCCCCAGCCCGCCCAGGAAGGTGCGGGCTCACTATCGGGGGCCTATCGCCGATCTATCGACGACGTATCGCCGATTCCAGGTCGATGCGTCCCCCCCTATGCCTATCCCCCCCTGTCGTTGCCCCGCATTGGAGGACCTGGAGCACATCAAGCGCCGGGTGCTGCACCGGCCG